AAGTAAATGTATATAGATATATATACATATATATCCCCCTTGGCCATAACTTATGAAGCCTCTAGAAGTGAAACTCCTTGTTAATCAAATCCATTGGTTCCTGTTATTAATTAATTAATGAGTAGCTAAAATGATAAATAGAAAAAGAAATAGATGATTGAATTAAGTGTAACCATCATGACTGCCCCTAGTCTACTACTTTTGTCAGTCATTATTTGTTCACCTTGTGTCTGTAGAGTTTGAAAATGGAAGAAAAGAGTTTAATATTAAGGAAATTAATATGATGATTGGATGCTAGCTGACAGAGTCCAAGAGTGTTCTGAAAATCACTCCTTCCCACCTCTCCTTCCTCGTACATTTAAAAAAAAAAAAAGCATGACTACTTAGATTTATGGACAGCATATAGTAAAACTCTTAAAATAATCATTACCTTTTCATGATGACTATTGTAATAAAAAGTATTTTCTTGTTGATGTTTATAACTGTGAACTGGTGTCCAAGAGCACATTTGCTGTACTAACACTTTAGCAGACCAACTAAATTTATTTTAGACTATGAGTATATCAGAGGTATTCCAGGGTCACTAACCTAACTTCCCATAAACAGTGAAGGTTTATCCAAAATTTGAGATTGTTAGGAATTCATTTTTTTTAACGTTTCAATACATGTAATGGATGTATGTCTGTATGGATGTTCATTATGGCTATATTCTTGATTTATATGCTTGATGTGAAAATATGATTGTCATGGATATTTTTTTTTTCTTTTATGTAAATGTGTAAAAATATTCATACTCTTGGTATATGTCTTTGGTATGATTCATTTATGGCACAAGAGAGGAAGTCTGTATGAGTGAGAGAGAGAGAGAGAGAGAGAGAGAGAGAGAGAGAGAGAGAGAGAGAGAGAGAGAGAGAGAGAGAGAGAGAGAGAGAGAGAAAGGGAGGGAGAAGGGAAGATGTAAGGAGATAAGGAAGAGGGTTAGGAGGTAGTATGAGCAGGTATACAACTTCAAGGTGAAAGACACACACACACACACACACACACACACACACACACTTATACACACACACACACACACACACACACACACACACACACACACACACACACACACACACACACACACACACACACATCCCCCCTTTGCACACACATCCCTACTCCTCCAAATGAGCTGCATCTCTGAAAGGATAGAGCTGTAGTCTAACGGTTTGTCGAAGGCAAAGACGAGATACAATGCATGGCAGCAAAGGTTATAAAGATGGTAGTGGAACTTTTGTACTGTAGTGAGCCATTAAGCCTGACACCTCTTAGTGATGCTTTCTTCTAGTTTAAGCTGTATTTTTTGCAAATTGAAGTGTTCTTTAGATGCAGGAAAGGATTTTTTTTTCCTTCAGAATATACAATATTTTCCCTCAGTAGATGCACAAAAAATTTTTTGAAATGATATTTACCCTGCAGTAATTACTATAGATGACCTTTTGTATTTAGAAATGTATTCAAACAATGTTTTCCAAATTTTTTGAAGTACCCTATCTAATATTGCTAAAATAATCAAAAAGCAAAACAAAGAACCAGTGACCATAATATTGTTTGCCGTTATAATTTGTTTTTTATTGCCAACCTATAATAACAGTTGCCCAATCCCTCCAACTTACTCTAAGCATATTGTTCTTTGCTGTATTTAGTTGTAATCTGATAAGTTCACACTATGACCCATTTAGTGGATATATATGAACCCCCATATCCCTCACCCTTGAGTAACCCCCCCGCCCCCCCCGGCATGCCCCCTACTAGCCCCGGAACATGGGTGTGGTTGGCCAGTGTGGGCAGCTTACTGTGTGGTGGGGCGGTGTGGTGGGACACTGCACCCCCCTCACTCATCCCTGCGCTCGCACCACCGCCACTACCACACCCACAATGGTAAGATGTTACTGCAGTGTGCATGCCTGCAACCATAGTGTGTCAATAGTGCAGGTCTTCTTTTTTTTTAACTGAAACCTTCTGTTCTTATGCAAGTCTTTCTCTGTTGGTTCAGACGTCAGTGTTTTCCTTTGTTATTTATCCTCTTCTTGAATACCTATTGTAGACCATTGAAGTAATGCACCAGAGAATAGTGTGGTTTGTACTGTGGATCAAGGACTTCTTCATGAAAAATTGTAGATTCAATTACATATTTATGACATTTATTTTGATTTCACATCTGCATTTCTTATAATGTAAAACTATATTTTTATTATGCATGAAATGTGAGTCATGATTTTTATTTACAATTTTGTTTTTTTATTGCCACATTTTTTTGCTGTATATGCATTTCTTATTACAGTTTGGACTGATGTTTTGAAATAATGGGGAACACTGAAATGCTTTTTAGTCTCACTTAATTCAAGTATTTTTGTGACAAATTTTACTACAAGCTTTATAATGATTTAGATATTTTTCAACTTGCAGAAGTAATCACTATGAATGTACTCTTTTTCTGTGCTGCATCAGGTGATGTAAATATGTTGGCTTATTAATTTTTGCGCAAACTTTTCCAAGTAACCACGGCAGCATTTAGTTTTGCAGTACTGTACAGAGCTTTGAGGATGTAACTGGGAAGCTTGACCATTGTTTATGGTGGATAACCCACACTTTACCTGAAACTTCATACTGTTTATGGTGAAATTGTGCTGTAGTTATTAGGACCATATATGTATTTAACTTTTTTTTTTATTACAAATTGGGAGCAGCCACTTGTATCTTGAGTACATTAGTCTGCTGTAGGTAATATGCCGTGAACAATTCCGATAAACTGTTCAAAATGTATTTGCTCTTTTTGTATACATTTTAGTAAGTAGATATACTGTATTATCCCTTGAGTCATTGTAAGCAAGAGCAAGTGCTTTTGATGAACTGCTGTATATGTGGATTTGAATGTTAGCTATGAATATTCTTGGCTATACTCTAGTGGAATAATTTTAGCATATCACTGAAATTTTGATAATTATTTACTTGAAGATTATCAAGATATATGAATATCCATTGATTAATACAGCATTACAAGCTTGCTCAAGTTATATATACATGTTATTATTACATATAGTATTTTTTGTATGTGTCTGTTGTGTTTTCCTTGTGTAAAACTGAAAGTAAAGTTGAACTGGATAGCCTCTAACGAACTCTCTCTTATGAGGCTAGTTAGTTGAGAAAGAGAGAGTCAGAGTGTGTGTGTGTGTGTGTGTGTGTGTGTGTGTGTGTGTGTGTGTGTGTGTGTGTGTGTGTAAATGTGTAAATGTGTAAATGTGTGAGAGATGCATGTTTTTTTTCTTTCTTTCTTTCTTTCTTTCTCTCTTTTATTTTCTTTTTCTTGTTCTCCGGTCATGGATGAATGTGTGTTCATAGGAACATATTTATTATTTGCTATATATTTAACATTAGCTCATACTGTTTCTATTAAATGACCAGGATACTAATCAGTTTCACTGTTGACAGGAGGTTTGTACGGAGGAGTAGCGACCCCTCTAGCCATGGTACCCCCCCAGATCCCTCCTCATGGCCGCAGTCTATCTCAGGGTCTAACGGGCCAGGGAGGACAAGGGCAATCTGGGGGGACACCAAGATCACGACGCAACCGTGATTCCTTCTGTGACGACAGCCAGGTTGTAAACATGAACATGAGCCAGTGTGTAAGCAAGATGGGTGGTCGGCAGCCATCTGGGGAATGCCAGAGGTGTGAAGAAGAACCATTGTTAGATAAAGTTCCTCCAGCACCTCTCAGTGCTCACGTGTTGCCTCCAAGATTTTCAGTAGCACAAATGCGGGCGTGTAACAAATCACAGACACCAACTAGGGCTGCCATGCAACAAATGAAACCACAGAATCAAATTCCAACACCCAAGACATACTCTCAGTCCCGTCCCCGCACATACAGACCAGATGAATATAACCTTCCTCAGAATTCATATGTCCCAACGTGGGCTCGCTCACAGAGTGGTGGACGACCCAGTGCCAGTGGGGGAAAGAAGTCATCTGGACGTAGTCGGACATCACCCAGAAAGGAAAATGATGATGGACAGATGCGACCATTAGATTCAGGAAGAACTGCTCTTAGTGGAGGACTTGTTTTGCCTCCTATGCCAAGACACCACCATGTAGAGGAAGCAGGGGTGCGCCACAAGTTACGATCATTTACACGACACTATAGTGATGATAGCTTACATGGCTCCTCTCACAGAGATCTGCAGTCTACTAGAATCCATTCTTCAGCTGATGAAATTAGCTCCCTCAATCGATCTCCAAGTCTAAGTTCCTCTGATGAGAGTTTCTCAAGGACAGATTTCTCACGCACTGATGCCGATTCACCATCTCCTCAACATGCCCCATCTCTCAGCGATGAACGTTTCAAATACATGTTTGGGGGCATGAATCTAGAGGGAGCAATGGCACCAGGGTTTAGAGAACTCTCTCCACAAATTTATTCTGATTATTTATCTAGTGTGAAAGCATCCAGTGATGAGAGCTCTTTACGGTTAAATAGTCTGTCACGTGACTCGACAACCTATTCTTACCCCAATGTGCCAGGACTTTGGAGAGAAACGGATATAGCCAGTCCTACCCATGATGAGAGGATGCGAAGAGATGACCTAGTGATACCTAAATTAACTGCTGAATTTTCGAGTGACAAGATGAAACGTAGTAAACATGGTGATAAAGCTGATGTGGAGGTTCCGTCCCATGTTGATAATTGTGTGAGTCACAGCGCCTCACCATCCAGTGAGAAAGTAAGGCCAGGGTGTAGACTGAGCTATGTAGACTGTGATTTAAACTCTCCATCAAGAACTAGTGCCTCTGGCAGCACAAGTCGTATGAGAAGTTTAGAGAAGAGTCCAAGAGAAAGCACAGCCATGACCCCTGACAGTGTTATTATGGTGCCAAAGAAGCGATCTCTTTCTAGAGAAGAAGGCATGAAAATAGGAAACCATGTCGGTACAGAACACGACATATTCAGAAAGCGTAGTACAGAGCGACCAAAACGAGATGGAGAATGCCAGACAGACCCAAGAACACATCATCATAAGAACAGTGCCACAGGAGTTAAATCAGGAGACAGAAACAAGCCAGAGAGGAAAATTGAAAAGTCTGCAACATTTGAAGGAATACCAGAAGATCCAAAATCTACACACCGTGACGGCAGTGAAGGAAGGTACGGTAGCAGTGGTCGGGGTGGGGATAGTGAAAGGGAAGGGGGGGCACAGCAA